AAATATTATTAAAAAATAATTAATCCTGAATTATGTCGCTATTTTGTCAAGTGTCTTAAGATAAAGAATTTGATTTTTGGTTTCCACAGTGAAGAGTATGAACAAAATTCAGATGGGGTAGTCGAAATTTTAGATTTCGATTTTTTTTAAGCTATGCATTACAAAAAGTAATATTGGTATATAATTTATGTCAGAATTATGTCAATTCAAATAAAACATCAAAAAAAATTTTTTTGACCAAAGAACCAAGTAGGAAATACATTTTCAATTTTGGACTAGGGACAGGTCTGGTCAAAATCTAGTTATTCACTTTTTTTTCTTCGAGGATAAATCCAAATAAAGTAAAACTTTGTATGAGCATTTTAATCCTCAGGTCACACATATTTGAATTAATAAAAATCATTTTTTGGACAAAATTTTAAGTCATGTTGTTTTTAAATGTACAACCAAATTTATAAAATTTGGGTCTGACGACATATAGAATACATTTCTTGCTTTAGATATTTTAAACTGTTTTGTATAAATATTAGTATACTCACACAAAGTTTCACTGTAATTGGATAAACCTTCGAAGAAAAAAAGCGAAAAACTAGATTTTGACTAGACCTGTCCCAAGTTCATAATTGAAAATGTATTTCCTACTTGGTTCTTTGCTCAAAAAAATTTTAGGATGTTTTATTTGTAATTGTTTTAAGCACTAAAATATTTATGCAAAGTTTGAATTCATTTGGATAAACCCTCGAAGAAAAAAGTGACAAAATTGATTTTGACTAGGATCGCCTCTAGTCCAAAATTGAAAATGTATTTCCTACTTAGTTCTTTGCTCAAAAATATTTTCGGATGTTACATTTGTATTTGTTTTAAGCACTGGAATATTTATGCAAAGTTTTAATCTATTTGGACAAACCCTCGAAGAAAAAAGTGACAAAATTGATTTTGACTAGGGTCGCCTCTAGTCCAAAATTGAAAATGTATTTCCTACTTGGTTATTTGCTCAAGAAAATTTTAAGATGTTTTATTTGTATTTGTTTTAAGCACTAGAATATTTATGCAAAGTTTCAATTCATTTGGATATACCCTCGAAGAAAAAAGTGACAAAATTGATTTTGACTAGGGTCGCCTCTAGTCCAAAATTAAAAATGTATTTCCTACTTGGTTATTTGCTCAAGAAAATTTTAAGATGTTTTATTTGTATTTGTTTTAAGCACTAGAATATTTATGCAAAGTTTCAATTCATTTGGATATACCCTCGAAGAAAAAAGTGACAAAATTGATTTTGACTAGGGTCGCCCCTAGTCCAAAATTGAGAATGTATTTCCTACTTGACTCTTTGCTCAGAAAAATTTTAGGAAGTTTTATTTGTATTTTTTCAAATCATTAAAATATTAATGCAAAGTTTCAATCCATTTGGATAAGCCCTCGAAGAAAAAAGTGACAAAATTGATTTTGACTAGGATCGCCTCTAGTCCAAAATTGAAAATGTATTTCCTACTTAGTTCTTTGCTCAAAAATATTTTCGGATGTTACATTTGTATTTGTTTTAAGCACTAGAATATTTATGCAAAGTTTCAATTCATTTGGATATACCCTCGAAGAAAAAAGTGACAAAATTGATTTTGACTAGGGTCGCCTCTAGTCCAAAATTAAAAATGTATTTCCTACTTGGTTATTTGCTCAAGAAAATTTTAAGATGTTTTATTTGTATTTGTTTTAAGCACTAAAATATTTATGCAAAGTTTGAATTCATTTGGATAAACCCTCGAAGAAAAAAGTGACAAAATTGATTTTGACTAGGATCGCCTCTAGTCCAAAATTGAAAATGTATTTCCTACTTAGTTCTTTGCTCAAAAATATTTTCGGATGTTACATTTGTATTTGTTTTAAGCACTGGAATATTTATGCAAAGTTTTAATCTATTTGGACAAACCCTCGAAGAAAAAAGTGACAAAATTGATTTTGACTAGGGTCGCCTCTAGTCCAAAATTGAAAATGTATTTCCTACTTGGTTATTTGCTCAAGAAAATTTTAAGATGTTTTATTTGTATTTGTTTTAAGCACTAGAATATTTATGCAAAGTTTCAATTCATTTGGATATACCCTCGAAGAAAAAAGTGACAAAATTGATTTTGACTAGGGTCGCCTCTAGTCCAAAATTAAAAATGTATTTCCTACTTGGTTATTTGCTCAAGAAAATTTTAAGATGTTTTATTTGTATTTGTTTTAAGCACTAGAATATTTATGCAAAGTTTCAATTCATTTGGATATACCCTCGAAGAAAAAAGTGACAAAATTGATTTTGACTAGGGTCGCCCATAGTCCAAAATTGAGAATGTATTTCCTACTTGACTCTTTGCTCAGAAAAATTTTAGGAAGTTTTATTTGTATTTTTTCAAATCATTAAAATATTAATGCAAAGTTTCAATCCATTTGGATAAGCCCTCGAAGAAAAAAGTGACAAAATTGATTTTGACTTGACCTGTCCTAAGTTCATAATTGAAAATGTATTTCCTACTTGGTTCTTTGGTCAAAAAAATTTTAGGATGTTTTATTTGAATTGACATAATTCTGACATAAATCATATATTAATATTACTTTTTGTAATGCATAGCTTAAAAAAAAATCGAAATCTAAAATTTCGACTACCCCATCTGAATTTTGTTCATACTCTTCACTGTGGAAACCAAAAATCAAATTTTTTATCTTAAGACACTTGACAAAATAGCAACATAATTCAGGATTAATTATTTTTTAATAATATTTTAACATTTACGAGAAAATGTGGTTCAAATAAGTGTGAAGTATGGCCGAGATTTGGACCAAAATCAGCTATACTGGATCATAGTGTTCCCGAGGGTGACAAAATTCAAACTAAGTGTTTTTGTAGCTGACATAATTATGATATAAATTAGGTATAACTTTTGAACTGTGTCGATATGGAACGGCCATACTTCAAGCCCACTTCATTTTATAGTGTTGTGCTTTACTTTCGATTCTTTCAAACATTACAATTTTCGTCAATTTTTTTCATCCTTTAATGGTAAAAGTTTTCTATTTGGTTTATATCCCCGACGAATTTTTTGCAAAAATAAAATTTCGCCCATACATACCCAAAACAAAAATAACCGAAATTGCGTTATAAACTGAAAAACTTAAAGCAGTGAAAGCTATGTTATAATTTTATTATAAAAAGGTATGAAAAGTTTTAATCAACATCAGTTTCAGCTAAACATTCATTCAGTTAACATTTCAAAGAATTTCTAAACTATTTTTTTTAAAATGAATTCTTTCACTATTCTCTTTGGACTTGCTTTAATCGCAGCTACTTATGCTCATGGACATGCAATAAGTTATGCCAAGAGAACAGATGAACATGGACATCATGCAGAAATCAAGGTTGAAGCTCATCATGGAGAAGATCATGGACATGGACATGATGAATACAAACATGTTGACTACATCCATCATCCAGCCTATAAATTTGAATATGGAGTTAAGGACCCAAAGACAGGAGATCATCATAGCCAATGGGAGCATCGTGATGGAGATGTTGTTAAAGGAGAATACTCACTTGATGAAGCTGATGGAACCAAGAGAATTGTCAAATACTCATCAGACAAGAAAGGAGGTTTCACAGCTCATGTTGAAAGAGTCGGACATGCTTCTCATCCAGCTCATTATGGTCATCATGAAGAAGCTCATCATCACTAGAAACTTTAAAAATTCCAAAAAATTGTCTTTACAAACAAATTGTTAAATTTTTTTAAATAAACAGTAAATTTATTACACTTTAAAATTTATTTTATCAAGGATGAACTGTTTTTTAGAGTCTTAAATAAATGATCTTGGTTTTTGGAAAACCTTGTATCTCTATTCTTTTAAAAGCATATTATGTTAATTAACATACAAATGAATTTACATGAATTTAAAAACATAAGTTTGCGGCACACAGTTTGAGAATCACCAAACTAAAACAAAGCTAAGATAAATTCACTTTTTCCATAAAATAAAGAATATTATATGAAATCAATTTCATTCTGGTCTTTCAAGTGATGAAGATTAGCTCGTTACAGTTATTTTTTAATAATCATAAAAAATATCGATTTTCAATTCAAGAATAGGGTTTGCAGAGTTGACCAAAAAACCGGAACTAGGTGTTATAAATTTCTATATAGCAAGCAAAACTGGATTATAATTTGAATTTTAAATATTTATAATTAATATTTCAGAGATTATAGTTGATATTTTAAATATTTTTGCGTAACTTGAACTGTAAATTTTAAAAGTCTTGCAATTGGAAACTGTCTAATTTGATTTGTATATCTGCATGGGTGGCAACTTGTTTTAATCTGTAACAATCTTATTGCAACATTGAACTCATAAAGAAATGCGAGTGAGACAAAATTTCTACATAATTTAATAAGGCCTTTAAAATATATTGCATTAAAAATTAAAATTTGTTTTGGATGGACTCAATGGTGTAGCTAGAAAGTTTCCAATTGACGAAAGAGTTAAATTTTTACTATTTCGAACCGACTTTTTGAACTTATTGCGAAAAACTGAAGCAAATTAAATGAAACTCTTTGAAAGGAACGTTCCCTGATTGCATCCCTGTATGGAATCACATCTGCGGTCAAAAACTAATGAATTAATCACAAGGTCACCAATTTTCTCTTTGTTTATGTCATTAGGTCTTTTAGTTTCACTTAAAAAGTACGTCAAATTAATTATATACAGCATTAAGTAATGACCTTTCTAATGTGCGAATTTACATTAATTCGGTAACTTTCTTCTTGTATGAATTTTAAAAACAGAACAAGATATTATGTGTATAAAATGAATGCAAAAACTTGACGAAACAAAAGTTGCATTATTCAATGCAAAAAGAGTGTAAGTAGCGAAAGCAGTAGCACCAATCAACCAACTATAAAATGGAATGAACATTCAATATCCAACATCAGTTTCAATTGCAGTTTCATTCCATTAACATTTTAAAAACAATTTATAGAAAAAAATGAATTTTTTCACAATTTTACTTGGACTTGCTTTGGTCGTAGCTGCTTATGCTCATGAACATGCATCAAGCTATGTTAAGAGAACAGATGAACATGGACATCATACAGAAATTAAGGTTGAGGCTCATCATGGTGAAGATCATGGACATGGACATGATGAATACAAACATGTTGACTACATCCATCATCCAGCCTATAAATTTGAATATGGAGTTAAGGACCCAAAGACAAAGGATCATCATAGCCAATGGGAGCATCGTGATGGAGATGTTGTTAAAGGAGAATACTCACTTGATGAAGCTGATGGAACCAAGAGAATTGTAAAATACTCATCAGACAAGAAAGGAGGTTTCACTGCTCATGTTGAGAGAGTCGGACATGCTTCTCATCCAGCTCATTATGGCCATCATGAAGAAGAACATCATCACTAAAAGATTTCACTATTCAAAAGCTCTGTGATAAACTTAGATTGTTAACTACTCAAATAAAGAAAATGTTTAAATGCTTAAGGGCTGTAGTTCATTTCATCTATTTTCCCTATCAGAAACATCAAGTTCCTTTGTCATTCACATATTCTTTCCAATTATTAATTATTTCAATCAGTTAAATTCACATCGTACTCCTGTCAATCGCTCCATATAACTTTACCTTTGATGTTAAGCACTGAAGCAGTATGATGTGCTCCAAATGCTTGAACTAACATGTTTGAAGCATAAATTGAAAAATATTCTACTAATGGATGAAATAACTATGCTCTATATGTTGTAGCATTTTATGCAAAAATTACTTATTATTTGGAACGTGCATAAATGCAGAGCATACATGTATATATTGTCTACAAAGGAGGAAAAAGCGAATGTCAAAGATCAGAAAATAAAAATTCTTTTGCATTTTCTGTTATTGCTCGAGGCTCGAAAAAGTTATGAAATGTAAAACGGTAAAATGGAAATAATAATAAGCATCATGATGGAAATATTGTGTACTTTATACCTCACTATATGACTCTTATGTATGTGCATATATTTAGTGCAAAATATTTTTTTTTTCAATGATACTCACACATATCGTAACGCCATCATCATCATCGTCGTGCATGTAACACAGTTGAGCATGTTTGGATGATAAACAGTAAAAAAAGGAACGTAAGGAAGGGGAAATAAAAATGTGAGAAAGAGGATGAGAAAAAAATGAATTGCATGTAGTTTGTATTAAATAGCAAAAGGCATAAAAAATAAACAACATGGCATAACATACTTTTTATGATGTTAAACATCAGATGTTTCCATGCGAAAGACATAGGAACAACAATAATAATTTATATTTTATGATTTTTGCCTTCTCACAGATCTATTCACAATACACAACGGTAGTAGTGTTACTATGTTATGTGTATTATACACAGAGGTGCAGGCAACATAAAATGCTCAATTTTCTTCTAATTCGATGAGTTTAGGTCGCTTCCTTTAATAGCATCCCTGAAATTTGTTCTTGTTATGAGCGTTTAGTTTCTAAAGAACATAAGTTATATGATTGTATAGTGATGAAGAAGAAAATTTAATTTGGGTGGACAAAAATGCTTTTTGGCAAGGTGTGGAAACTCAGGATTAATCCTGAAAAATCCCAAAAATCCTTTTAAAAAATCCCTGAGCCAATTAACATGGAAATGTGAAATCCGTTTTAAATCCCTGATGCATTTGATGAATAATTTCCGGATTTAAAAGGGATTTCAGGTTTTCATGTTTATTTGCTCAGGGATTTTTTAGGATTTCTGGGATTTTTCAGGGTTAATCCTGAGTTTCCACGCCTTCCTTTTTGGTTACTTTTTCTAGCTTCACTTTTTGTTGTTTGTTGTGCTTGATGAATTTATTCATTTTTACTGTTTTTGTGTCTGTATTTCTTTTATTAAAATGTTTTCTTTTTTTTTCGAGAATCGAATCAATGTTTCTGTCCAAGATTTAAGTTTTTAGAAGGATAGCTAAGGCTAGCAGTAGAAGAATGGAAGTTTTTTGGGGTAAACCTTCCATCTCGATAAATTGGTTTAAAAATGAGCTTAGATTTAATAATAAAATCAAAATCTTTACTATTTTTAAAATGTATGTCTATCCTACTGCCTAGTGCTTATCCTGTCATGTATCTAAATCGAAATAGTGAAATCTAAACCAATTCTTTGATAACAGTACTGCTTGAAGCCAACGATTATGGCCTTTATTTCAAATAAATACGATTCGAAAAGCATCTAGGATTGTCGTGATGGTTTAAGCTTAATTACTTACTTCAATGACCTTACAGATCAACTGTAATCCATGGGCTTCCTTTAGATGCCGCCTAAACTGGCTCATAGCTGACTACCGCTTGCCAATTTCCTATACCAAATGCAATACTGTCGCTATAAACAGCCTCTTTCCATGAGTTCTTTTGTCTTCCACGTGCTCTTTTTCCATCTACAAAGTCCGACTTTAATGGACCTTACACAGGTCTCCTCGTAACATGTTCAGCCCATCGGAGCCTATTTACTTTAATGCGTTTAATGATATCAGCTGTTTAAGCTGATGGATAAAGCACTCTTCTTAAATGCGTTATTTTCACTCCTTCAAAAATTCCACAAGAATTCATTTCAAACTCAATTTCTGCAGTCGCTGTATTTACCATTTGCAATTTGAAACGAAAAAGCTATACATTTACCATAACAATTCAATGGATGAGATGTAATATTATGGAATGGTGGCATGTAAGTTGAAATTGAAGGAGCTATGTCATACTGATAGAGTCATTCTTCATCTTTGCGTGTGCACAACAGCAATCATCTTTCATAGAAAGGAAAGAAAAGAGAAAAAGAATAAAAATAAGCAATACGAGAAGGCCTCTCCAAGCTCATATAAATAAAAGCCTTTTTTTCTGATGAGATGAAGAAAAATTTGTTCATCACATAAGAATTTTCTTTTATACATAAAGACATAAAAATGTAACAGAAAATTGGGTGAGAAGAATAAATGAGTTTTTGGGTGCAGATATTTTTTTTTATGTGGATCTGAAGAAAATGAACTAATGAAACTATGAAGGTCTGCTTGGCCTTGTGTGATGTTTATTTTATGGGAAATTTAAAGTCAGAGATGAATAAATTAGACAGAATGGCATTGAAACGAGAGTTTTATGGACGGAAAGAAAGAATTTTGACAAGTTTTCAGGGTCAGATACTATATGGCAAGGATGTTTGAAAGGCTGGAGCCAGTTTAACATTGGTGAATAAATAAAATTTGACTTAGGGGCCATTCACTTATTACGTAACGCTTTTAGGGGGAGGGGGGGGGGGGGTCTAAGATTTTGTTACGGTTCAAACAAGGAAATTTTTTTTTCATACAAATTTTGTTACGAGGGGGGGGGGGGTCTAAGAAGTCATTTTTTCGCGTTACGTAATAAGTGAACAGCCCCTTAGATTAGGGCAGAAACCCTAGAGTGTGTTACGCTTAGCGTATTTAGAGAAGCTTTAAAAAATAATCGCTTGATATGGGCTGGATATGTGTTTAGATATCCACAAAATGTCCAAGTACTTAGAATTACTGTTGCAGACCTTATAAATGGCAAGAGATCTAGAGAAATACCAAAAAATACCTGGATTGGATGTGATAAAGACGCTAGTGTCCTAAATATCCTAAACTGGTAGAAGGTCTCGAAGAATTGAGCTGTCTCAAGACGATCTCTGAACACTGCAATGGGCCCACGTGCGCCCCAGGATTTCTTTGTGTCATTTTAAGCTTAAAGCTTAAGTTAAAACTCAGCATACTTAAGTGATCCATCCGAATTTATCTCTGAATTCTTGTGTGCTACAGTTGGCACTAGATGCAAACGGTTCAGCATTTAATAATTTTAAAAAACTTTGCAAAATCTATATGTAAGTCAAGACTGCTAGAGTTTGCTTTATTATCATGGTTAAAATACTAATAGTTTGTCTAGGTGTAAGTTTCATATACCCTAGAAAGAGTGGAACGCTGGTAAGGATTATGGAATGATCCAACCCCAAAAATTCTATTTGCAACTCTGTGACAATCATTCAAAAATATTCTTTTGGTTTTACTCAGGAAGATCATTGACTTAACATTGATTATTTTTCCCAAAGCTGCTTTACTTGATACTTGACGATTTACATAAAAAAAATTCAAAAGTCAAAAAAAAAAATCACTTCGCATACAAAAAATGCAAGTATATAAAAATTTAAAGAGAACAAAAAGAACAAGATGGAGCAAGAAAAAAGAAGTAAAATAAAGAAAGCACGATGTCTGACATAATAAATTTGTTTTAATAAATCTTCTGCTGTTCGTATAAAGATATTTTTGTAATTTTTCTCTTACTTTTCACGCTTTTTCTCACTGTAAGTAGGAATGCCTCTTCTTTACTTTCCTCATTTGTATTTTTTTGTAAGCTGCTATGCGAAAAAAAACAGCAGCATAAAAAAGGAACTCTCGTAAAGGTTGGAGTAGGAAAGATGAGAACAGAAGCAAAAAATATTATATTTAATAAATGTGTATATACGTTTTTTTGTCGCTACGACGTATGTATGTATGTACATTTCTTACTTCCTTGAGCCATGTATACACGTGAGAAAATAAGACGGAAGCAAAATTATTTCGTTCTTCATGCAACAAGAATTCTCTTCGTTTTTCTGTTATTTTTTATTATTTGCTAAAGTAATCGGATTTTCTGATTCTTTTCAACATTATGCGACAATCGAAAATAAGACACAGCTGCTGATACAAAAAAAAAAATAACTGACGAGAAAAATTATTCGTATTTTATAAGTAAGAAAGAATGAAGGAAAAAGCTAGGAAGTATGACTTTTTGAGGAAGCATTTTTAAGATGTTTATTAAAGCTGAAGTCAATTTTAGGAGTCAAATGCTTAGCCTGGGGAATGGAAGGGGCTCTGTCAAAATAAATGGCCGGTAACAGTGGTAAATGGGTTAGTTGAATATCAAGCTTAATCAGGGACATGCATTTTTAAGGGGTTCAAACATTATTCCTACACAAAAATAGCAATTGATTTTTTATCCCAAAATCGAGGGGGAGGGTTGACTTCAAAAACCCCAAAGGCTTAAAAATATTTTAAAATTCCTAGGGTTCTCAACACAAATATTGAAGGATATACTTTCAGGCATAATTGTTTTCTAAACAAGAATCAAGTCCTAGGTGGGTCAATAACCTCAAAGTTATGTTTATATCCACAGAACAAATCAAACAAGCCACAATTATTTATCTTTGAGCATGAATTGTGGTTTAAATGAATTTAAAACAGCTCACGAATATTATCAAAATTCAGAACACCAAATTCTCTACGGATTGAAAATTCAAACTTGATAATCAAATTAAGTAGAACATTTTACGAGATTCTAAAGCGTAACAGAATCAGCCAAAGTTCATATAATAGTGGTTTTAATTCAACGAAAAATTCGCTAACAAGATGAAAATTTTCCACATCACAAGTTGCTCCTCACTATGTATATGTGTGTACATGATAATAATATAAAAAAAACAGAAAATGTACAATTGGTATACCAATTAGCTTTCCTTCTTCTTTTCCGTACCCTCTCACTCATATTTTGTTGTACGCTTAAAAGCTTTTATTTTTATTCCTTTTGATCTGATTATGAAAGCTTTTTCTATTGTGGCTTCTATAATGCTGTTCTGCTGTTGAGAACACATAACATACACAGAACAAAAAAAAAGTTCGAGCATGGAAAAAAATTTTCATAGAAAAATTATATTTTTTTAATTGAATTTTTGAGAAAAATTCTACAGCCAGTGTTTGCTGCTAATTTAAAAAAAAATTTAATGTACATTTATGCTGCTTTCGGGGCACATACATGCATCGTATATTCGCATGAGTAGCTGCAACAAAACCAATACATTCATTTTTAGTCAGATATCTGGTAATGTTATGGCTTATGTAATTTTTTTTGTAATGCTTGAATTTCGGAGAGCAAGAGCCTGCACATAATCATTGTTCACAACTTCGTTAGATAAAAAAAAGACTAGCTGCAGCCATATTACGTGTGTGCATAGTGGATGAACATTAATTCTTGAATGTGAATAGCATTTTCTACAATTTTGATTCCTTTAATCTCTGTCATGTGTATTGTTTGACTGGCTCATAAGTGCAAAATGTTCATACATCCGACTATCGCATCAAATATTCACTACAGTCATTGACTTTTCAGCAATTCCATTTCCTGTATCAAGAGTCTTCTAGACGAAGGAAAAAAGTGATGAGAATGTTATCGAATGTTGGAATCAAATCTCAATTGTGACGATAAAATGTCATTGCGTCGCATTGAGTTAGTGTCAAAAAACATGAACAATCAAGAATTGCTTATATGAGCACCTTAGGTTATATTCAAAGCTCATCTCCATGCTGTCATTTGTCATTCCATTACTACTGCTTGTTAGCAAAGTCAGTATAAATACGGATGAAGATAAAAATGGATTTTTAGGGAAAAATTCTTCACAACTCATGTTGTGCGAGATTTTCGTGGAAATAAGTTGTATGGTGTTGTCTCGATGTCAGTTATAGGTCTGATTTTATGAGTATATGAGCATTTATATTAAATTTCAATGGACGTTGTTGTTGCTTAAGTAGTATAAGTGTTATTATGAAGAAGAATCAATTTCTCTGGGCAGGTTTCTTTTGGTACCCAAGCATTTTGAAAATGAATATCAACCAAAGACAAAAGCTTAGTTTGGAGAAAATCTAGAAAGACCTAGACTCTCTTGAAGATTAAAACACTCTTCCTTTAATCTGCTTACAGCCCTAGTCAATGTAAGTTTCAACTTTTGGGGGACGAACAAGGGTTAATCCAAGATATTGGGGAGGATGGGGGTGTGTAATGTCAAATATTCTTATAGAATGTCAGAATCAACTTCAGATATTAAAAATCAATCACATTTTAATTCATTAGAATTATGTACAGTCATTTAAAAGGCACAAAGCGCTTCATTCTTCCTCTAATAACTTTAAATTCTCAATTGTACCATAGCAGTACAAAATCAATGTTAAAAAAAATTCACATAATCGGATTTTTGTACGAAAGGCGATGGGCATGCTAGAGGAGTAAAAATTGAATGAAAATTCCATTATTTCAAACTATATGAATTGATGTTAACAACCAATATCTGACCACAATTGATTCTTGCTAGTGCACTTTAGAGATTGAATAAATAATGTCTTAAAAAATTTATGCAAAGTAGAGGAAGAGATTATGTGGGGAGTAAAGCTTTTAATTAAGATTGAGAGCTCATCAACCAGATTAGAACTTCATAAACTTTTCATTTTGCTGTGATGAAAAAGTTTTTACAACAACAAAAAGAAAATTTTCTTAAGAAAATCGAAAGCCAACAAGGAAAACTGAAAACATGAAAAGTTTTCTTACTTCTTTTGCCAGTTGCTAAGTGTTAAAGTTTTCTCTTCTGGTTTTGTTTTGCTATCTCCATGTGAAGAATCTGGACAAACATATCCAGGGATGTAGCTAGTGATGAGAATTGAGGGTCAACTCATATTTGACGAGAAAATTTCTAATTTGGATTTTTTGGACATGATGAAAATTTTAGAATTATTTTCTCTTGCTAGATAAATCTCTGACTATGCTCCTGAACACAGCATGCACATATCATCTCACTCATTGTTTATTAACAAAGCAAAAAGTTCGCCCAGTTTTTTTGGGATAAATAAGCTTGGCTTTATTTATTCTGAAATAAAAAAAAAGTTTAGAGATACAACATGTTGCATTACTTCGGACGTTTATTTACATACATCAGCACAAAAGTTGGATCTCGTATTCTCATGTAATATAAGATGTGCAAACGTTGACTCATGCAGGTTCATAAAAAACTCAAACAAAAAAATGCTCTTTTGATCTCTCGTGTAAAAGCTAGCATTCATAAAAATATTATGCGAGACTTTTTCTTGGAAATTATATTATATTTTATTTTATAGTCTGATGGATTTTTGTGTAATTTGCAGTAATTGAATTTTGAACAAATGAATAAAACTATAGTATTAAATTTTGAAATTCATGGAAATTCCGTATGAATATTTTGATTTATGTGGGCCATTAAATAATGACGTTTATCTAGAATAAGATTTTTAAAACCTTTTCTTTGGTCATGTTTATTTTAAAATTTTTCTTTTTTTCGAGAGTTCTTATAATAATAATCCTTTTTTCAAAAAATTAAAATAAGTTGGGACAAATAATAGAATTTTAATGTTAACCTTTGTCGGTTTTAAATCAATTGAAATAATGTGAATAATTAAAGATTATTTTCTTTATTAAGTTAAGGCAGAAAAAATGTTTAAAAAACCATTTTTTAAAAAAGTGTTTAGTTCTTATAAAATCTCATAAACGATGCACGACTCCTTTTTTGAGAGTTTAGAACCATTTTTAACTGTATTATTTTTGATTGCTCATTGATTGGAGCTTGGATAAATATTATTGATGAATTTAAATTTAATAATTCACGAAAAATTATCAAACTAGAGCTATTTAATTAAGAAGCTATAATATTTCCAATACATTGAATTGGTGTACGTGACAAATAGTGACAATTAATATTTAAAAATATTTTAAAGCTTTAATTTCAACGCTAAGTTTAATCGTACTCTTGTAACTCTTAATAATATATCCTCATCGTTAGTCTTTCGGAAGCAGTCCATTTATATCGTTTGAATTTAAATCATCTGAGTTTGAAAAAAAAAAAAATCTTAAACACATCCAACAAGCCTGAATAAAATGTCCATTCAATTCAAAATCAAGAAATTTTCACTTCATTATTCCGTCTGTAATTATTTTCAGTAAAATGGACTGTAAATCATATTTTAATTATGTCGAAATGTAAAGTACACAACCAAGTCTCACAGCACATAAAACCAAATGATATGTACAGCAAGTGCAAATATTCACAATTATCTTCAATTTTCTCCCATTTCTCTTGAATTTCTCACAACTTCATTCACTCAACAATTATTAAGAAAAATACCTGAATGATGTATGAATAAAAAACTACTTATTGAGGAAAAAAACATGCTGCTACTGTGACAGGCAGCATCAAGAAGAGAGAATAAGAGAAGAAAAGATAAAATGCGCTTTGCTGTAAGATACAATTACCTTGTACTAGGTCAGTGATTATGTATACATTAGCGATTATGAAATGTTATAGTTTTATAACAGGTTATTATTGTTGATATTTGTTGCTGTTAATTGTGCTGCTCATTAAAATTGATTGCATTTATTTAAATTTTTAAGCAGTAATTTATTGAGGATGGTAATGTTAGAGCAGTTGAAAAAATGTCGAGGAAGTGATTAAAAATTATATTAGTAAAGTAAATCATGTTGTCAGTTGAAATAGTTTCAAATGCTACTAGCTTTGCTTGATGAGTCTTGTGGCTGGAGCAAATTAAAAAATTCTATTTTGATAAGAATTTTGGAATTTATTTGTGTGGATATGGCTCGAAGAGCATATATGTAGTAGATAGGCCTAAGCATAGGGCTATCTGTTTGACGGATAGCCGAAGTGAGATAGCCATACCTAGTTGGCCGAGTGGCAGGGATCTCTGATCGAGTGGTCAGAGATCGCCTTTTTTGAGGTCGTGGGTTCGATTCCCATCACATATGGCAGTTATAGTAAGATCTACAATTTGATCGTGTTTAAGGCTGCAATCTAGCCTGCCCTTATGTTATGTTGCTTTATAAGTCTTCATCATCATAACAACGAGCCTTAGTAATAAGGCATTTGATGTAAATCCGTTCATCCCTTAATCATAAAATTCTTCAATGTTCTTGGATTCTTAAAAAAAAATAATCCCAAACTGACTTACTTGGGGGCCTTAAAATAATTGTCCAGTACATTAAGCTACTTAAACATCAAATGAGCAACTAAAACCTTCTGCACAGCTTAAAAGTTTTCACAAAACTTCCACATTTTCTACCTTAAAGCCTCGAATATGAATGACACTGTTACGGTTGATTTTTTCGAAGTTATTTGTATTCATTTAATTTTTTTGGTGGTTCATTTCAGCTTTTTGCCAATGCTCCAAATAGATTTTTTATTGCAATTGATCATGAACAAAATACATACAATTAAAATTTATTTAATTGTTTTATTGCCGCTTTATTTAATAATTCAATGGAATTTATTTTTTTTTTGTAGTTTTGTCGAATTTAAAAAAAGTGAAAATCTAATAATCTCAATGTCAGATAGAATTTTATGTTTAGCATGTATGGCCATTACGGATAATATAAAAACGAGTCAAAATCTTACATTTGGCATCAGTTACTTGTTCAGTTTTGGTAAAGCAACAGTAAAACACAAAGAAAAAACTTAAAGAATCATGAGTTCCATTAAAGTAAGTTCATCCCTTAAAAAAAACATACCTTAAAGTTCTAAAATAACAACAAATTTGTTTCCTATAGATTCTCATCACATTCGCTATTCTTGCTGGCATTGCAAATGCTCACTCAGCAGTAAGCTATGTAAGCAGACAGGATGGAGGATTAAATCATCACGACTACCATCATCATTCAGCACCATTGTTAATTTCTTCACCTGTTGTATATGGAGCTCATGCTGCGCCAATTGAACACAGCTGGAATCCAATTTATTCTTCAGGTTATGCTCCACATTATCACAAGGATTATCATCATTATCCAAAATACAACTTTGAATATGGCGTTAAGGATGCTCATACAGGTGATCACAAAAGCCAATGGGAAGCTCGTGATGGAGATGTTGTTAAGGGAGAATACACATTAGATGAAGCTGATGGTAAGCTTTAAATAATTTTTCCAAATAATCTCTGTATTGATATATTTATATTTATTTCTATTTAAGGTACAAAGCGTGTCGTCTCATACACTGCAAGTGATAAGACCGGATTCAATGCTGTTGTTAAGAAGATTGGTCATGCTCATCATTACCAACCATACGCTCAGCAACATGCTTATGGCCATGCTTACGCTCCAAGTGCTTATGGATATCATCATTAAAAGATCAGTATTAGTGTGGATCAATCGATGGACTAAGAATGAAAAGTATTGTTTGTGAAAAATAAATTATTGAAAAATAAAATTTATGAATTTCTAAAGAACTATAAAATTTTTCTTTGATGATTTTCAATGACTTCAGAACTATTTTAATGCATTCTAAATCATAGCACTTCCTGATGTAATATTTTTAAAGCTACTGATGAATAATTGATGAAATATAGTTATAATCTGCTAGTGTATACGTTTTGCATCATCCCATACTATTTAGCATCAAATTGCAGCTGTACTAAAATTACAGCTGTAGATTAAAGATGAACTTACGTCGTTACGTAAAAATCAAATTACAGCTGTAAGTTACAGCTGTAGTTTAATGTGTATAAATTACATACAGCTGTAAATACAGATGGTGTTTATAACTTAAACAGGTGCTTAGCTGTATTTACAGTTGATGTAATTTTTCGTAAATTATGCTGATTTTGACTATGATTTTTCCTTTTACAAAAAGATTGAATAGAAAACAAGGTACAGTAGCGTGCAAAAGTATTAAACACCATCTGTATTTAAAGCTGTATGTTATTTAGACACATTAAACTACAGCTGTAAATTACAGCTGTAATTTGATTTTTACGTAACGACATAATTATATCTGTAATCTACAGCTGTAATTTAATGCTAAATAGTATAGGGTTTTTGCATCTTACTTTTTAGCACATTTCAGAGGCATAGTCAGAAAAAAAACTTCGAGGAGGTCTAAATTATTTCTATTCCTACACTCAAATGGCACAAATCGGTTAATCGATCAGAAATCTAGCACGAAGCCTGCGTAACTCTATATTGATGGTAGATTTAAATCCAAGCCAGCACCATACCAGAGTCATGCCGGTTTGGCACTGGTTTTCCATTCAACTAACCGACTTTTGCCATTTGCGACATTCTATGGATTGTCTTTTATTAATATCACTCATGCTTTAAATTAAAATTTTTAAGACAATTTTTTTGTAAAAGTGTCTTTCTGATGAACAAGTTGTTTGATGACACAAACTAGAAACCATGTCTACACATTACTATCTGTGAGCTTCTAATCATTGACAACGCAAATGCCGCAGTATGGAATTGATTCCAATTGATTTTCATTAGTCAACTTACTTGAAATTTCCTGTCCATACAATAAACATTGATAATCGATGAATAAAATTCAGCATCTTAAAAATCACAACATCTAACCGTTGCAATTTCCCACTAAATATCTTCCTGATCGCAACTAAATACGGAAGTTTAAAATTTATTTGAATGGGAATCGCTCCATAAAATATTCAATATAGTAACAATAAATGTTAATAGTTAAATGCACACAAGTCGAGGAATTATATAATTCTCACATTCTGAGAAATGAAATAATCAATTAGGAAATTGCATGATTAATCTGTCTTTAGCTGATAAAATAAAACTTTCTTGTCTCATTTAATGCGGCTATTTAGCGCAATAGGAAAGACGAGATTCCTTCTTTTGAATTTATCGCACATAATACATTATTTTTATAGCTCCTATCTGTGCTATTAACATAACAAGTGAGAAGAAAATTCATAACGAGCTAATAACAAGGCAGTAAATGGTTTTTTTTTTGTGCATTAAAAAGTATAAAATTTTATTCTCTTCATGATTCAAAATTCATGACAAAATATATTTTACAGCTATGCTTTGTTGTTTAAGGTTCTGACTTTTGCAAAAAAAAAATGCTATTTACAGTGAATTATTTTTAATCTACAGCTAGTTTTTATATCACAATCTTTGGTCGTTGATTGATTAAAATTTAATAGTGATGAGCTTCCTCATGATGTCCATAATGAGCTGGATGATCAGCATGTCCAATTCTCTCAACATGAGCTTGGAATCCTGAATGCTTATCTGATGAGTATTTGACAACTCTCTTGGTTCCATCAGCTTCATCAAGTGTATATTCTCCCTTAACAACATCTCCATCACGATGCTCCCATTGGCTATGATGATCCTTTGTCTTTGGGTCATGTACTCCATATTCAAATTTGTAGGCTGGATGATGATGATAATCGTGGTGTTCTTCATGTCCATGTCCATGTCCAGGTGTATTATGATCATGTCTTGAGACGTAACTTGATCCACCATAAGCGGCAGCAGCGGCAATAAGTGCAAAAGCAATCAAAAGTGTTAAAGTTTTCATTTTTATTAAATTATTTTTTGTATTTAAGTTTTCACGTGAACTGTTTAATTAAAAGCAAACACTGAACTGATACAAACCATCTATTTTTCCGCCACTTATATAGTCAACGATCATACCTTACCATAACTTCTACCTTACTTACAAACATTTTCGTATGTGCAACTCACAAATCGAATTCGTAACTCTCTTCATTCAATAAGTTTATTTGTTTGAATTATTAGGTTTTTATATTTTTGGAATTAGATCTGATGAAATTTTTCCATTGAGTTTGAGATTTTAAAATGTAATCGAAAATTGATGAGCATTTTGGGGGTTTTAATAGGTTTGCCGGTTTTTCTGATTTTTGGTAAGTCTCAATTTGTGATTTTTCAAAAAAAAAACTATTGACGAACTTCAGCAGTGTAGCTAGGAGGGGCAGGACTCCTACTATAATATTTAAGCTATTGCTGCTGTACAAAGGGGGGGGGGGTCCTCCTTGGCTAAACCTTTGATTAACCTATTGAGGCAGATCCAAACTTCTAGTTTCTAGATTCAAATATCTCGAAGAGAAGGAGATGGAAGGGGGGGGGGGGGGTTGATGATTTTAGAAAACCCTCAGCTATATTTTTAATATTTTTTGAATCCCCCTTAATGTCTTTGCTCTTAATCAGTCTTAAATCTGATTTAAATTGAAGATTCTTCTTGTAATCCACAAATCCAAAAATTCAATCCCACATACATTCTAGACTTTCTACAAGCAATTTCTCCTGCCAAAGACGAACAACTAATGATCTTGTTATGTTAACTGAAATTCAAGTTTTTGCATAATATGTACATGCAGTTTTATTACAGCCGCTTACATGCGGATTAAATGCACAATATTATTACTTAACTAGTCAATAAATGTTTAAAATAAGAATAGAAAATAATTCATAAATTAAAGCGCCTTACAGAAACACAATTAATAATCCAAAACTTGTTTTTTATTGCCGCAGCCGTGGAAAGAAATTTGTTGGAAATTCTTCTTTTGTTTCAATCTGGTGGGTTTACAACATTGCATTACACTTCGTAAATAAATTAATTAATTTAGTGGTGATGGGTTATGTATGAGCAAGAGTGAGAAAAAAATGCCAGAACTTGAACATGTTTGTTAATTAAGTAAGAGCTATAAATTAAATTAAATTAGAAATTAAAGTGAAACTTTAAGTTAAGAATGCTTAATGATGCATTAAAGTTCAAATATGTTGCATACCGTGTATCGATGGTTCTTTTGTAATTTTTGGAAGGCATTGAAAGTTTGCGGTGCTGATTGGTTCGATTAATATAAAAGCTGTTGATTCTACAGCCATAATCATCAATCAGTCTTTAGAATTCAAAGTTTAAACAATCAAAAAATCAATTCAATCAAAAATGAATCCAGTTAAAGTAAGTATTTAGTTTCTATAACAGTTTGATTCAAATTCTGACAGTTAATTCCCTTAGATCACAATCGCACTTGCCTTCATCGCTGTTGTCTCAGCCGGTTCAATCAGCTATGTCAAGCGATCAGATCATTTGGGATCAGATGTCGGTTACGGAAGTGGTGTAGCATGGGGAGGAATTGAAGGTGGAGAAGGATTATGGAACGGAGATGTTAAGGGAGATTATTATGCCTACCCAAAGTACAAGTTCGAATATGGAGTTAATGATCCACATACCCATGATCATAAGAGTCAATGGGAGATTCGTGATGGAGATGTTGTCAAGGGAGAATATACATTGGATGAAGCTGATGGTAAGCTTTAAATAATTTTTTCAGATATTCTCTGTATTGTCATATTTACATTTATTTCTATTTAAGGTACAAAGCGTGTCGTCTCATATACTGCAAGTGACAAGACTGGATTCAATGCTGTTGTTAAGAAGATCGGTCATGCTCATCATTACCAACCATACGCTCAGCAAAATGCTTATGGAGGATATTAAGCAACAATGATATAAACTCTCTGTGATGATAATTTGAATTTCTAGAATAAAATTTGTAATAAATTAATTTCTGCATGAAAACTTTGCAATTTCTATTTGAATTATTTTGAACAATATTTCAGTTGAGCAGGATTTATTAGAATAATAGTTTCTTAACTAAAGTTGATGTATACTACTTACTTACTTTGCTGGCCGTACAGATCAATTGTGATTAATGGCCTCCCTTAGATGACACCTGAAGCTGGCTCTATCGCTGGCTACCGTTTGCCAATTACTGTCCATGTCAACAACTTCTTTCCAAGAGTTTTTAGAACGCCCGTTTTAGTTCATGTGTAATTGAGGGATTTCAAGTGGGATCCGAAATTTGATGATAGGAAGTGCTGGGATTTTTTCAAAAGGATTTTTGGAATCAATTTCGAGTGTATAGGCCTTAAGTTTCACATATTTTCACTGAAAAGTTGACAGATGTCGAGTAAGCCAAGAACCAGAGCCATTGTCGAAAACTCTGAATTTTCTAGTCTATTAATAATGACTTAGGTTTTTAATTTTACATATGTTCAAGAATCGGATATTTTTACTAAGGTTCAAAATTCAAGACTGGTTTGAGTCTGTGTTGCACTTGCTCATTTGACTATTTTTTATAATTGACCCCTTTCCAAAGAAGGAGCCAAGGTGTGTTATTTGGTCAATTAATTATATTCACTTGTAGAAAATAAAATCCCAAAAATCCAAATATTTTTGTTCCTTGTAAAATGAAAAAGGACAGTCACTCGCTTGGAAGAATTTCTTGCAAAGCCCATACCATTCTCATTATCACGTGAAAGCAGTTCAAGTTATTTAATAATACAAGTTCATATTTAATTCCTTCAAATAAACATTAAATGTTTTTATTAAAGACTTTATTCAAATAAAAATATTAAAGCATATTTTAAACCCACAATAATTAACATTATGCACATTTCATTGAAATTCCAAATTTCACTCTTGATTGAGATCAAAAGGTTACTTCCTCTCATAACCATCTCTTTGGCCATGCAGAGATGAAACAACTAAAAGCTTTGAGGAAATTTCTATTCATCAATTTATTAAAGTAATAATTAAATTGCACATTTTGAATAATTGAATTTACTAAGTTTTCCTAATTGAAACTGTACTGATTCAATCTACTCATTAAAATAATTGGAGAAGCTCATGAAGTGTAAGTAGATATTTGGGAATTATACATGAAATTTAATTATAGAGTAGAATATTAGTAATTATGAATCATGAAGCTTTTGTTCAATTGAAATTTAAATTAAAGTCTATTCTGATACATTCATTAGGTGATTAAATGACAGTTAGGTCTTGATTTAAATCCTCAAAATTGCATCTTTATTGCATTGCTTTTAAAAAATTATCACACAAATTAAGCAAAACATCAATTAACTCATAAATCTTTGGTCTAGGTAGAACTTATTTAATATCCATATCCATGTTGTTTATAGTGTTCTGGATGATGAGCCTTTCCAACCTTCTTGACGACAGCATTAAATCCAGTTTTATCGCTAGCTTCATATGTGACAATACGCTTTGTGCCATCAGCTTCATCTAATGTATATTCTCCCTTAACAACATCTCCGTCTCTAATTTCCCATTGACTCTTGTGGTCACCGGTATGTGGATCTTTTACACCATATTCGAATTTGTACTTTGGATAAGCATAAAAATCTTCATCATGATGTTTATTATGATATTCTGGCTCGTGAACGAGTGGCTCATGAACGAGTGGTTCGTGATGATTGACTGGATAATGATGTGGATGATGCAAATCGTGTTTTACTTCAACTTTGTATCCATGACTAAGTTCATGAGGAAGAGCAGCAGCAACTGCTAAAAATGCACCAAAAACCTTTAATAAAAGATAAAAAAATATTTTAATTGACAAAAAAATTGCTTTTGAAGAATTAAATTTACCACTAAAAGTTTCATTATGCTTAGTTTGTTATACTTGAGTTCTTGAGTTCTGCCACAAATAGACTGTTGTTAAATAATCGTATTGTGGCTTCTTTTATACGTTTGAAAATATAATGAGCATTATTAGAAATCAAAAAATAACTTAATTCGTTATGTCCATGAACACCATCAAGATTCTTAACATAAGCAAAAGGTATTAAATGAAGTTTGCTGAGAGATACTCGATGAACTCGAAAAAAATGAAAATATTAAGAGCACTGACCATAGTAATAATTCATGATTAATATCCTATGAACAGTAAATTTGAAGTATCTAATTTAAAGGTTTTTTGTGATAATTTTGTTCTCTTAGGTACGGTGAAATTAATTGGACTGTTAATGACGAGATTTCATTAAGAATCTGTGAGTTTGGGTGGAGTTTGGAAAAGTAAAAAGTTGAAATGAAAATTCTTGATTTTTTAATTGAATTTTAAGATGTAATTCTTGGAAGGACTTATGGTTGAAATTGAATGTTAAAACATCCTTTCAGCTGTAAGTTTTGAACTTGAAATTCAGTATTCATATTTGAAAACCTTTAAATTAGTAATTGAAATATTAAATTGGTTAAGAGAATGTTTGAAAAAATTTCTGTAATTTGTAAAATTAAAATGAAGTTAATCAATTGATAATCCAAACCCGAATAACACAAGTCGGTTAATTGATCGATTGCACTCGATTCAGAGTCATGCTGGCTTGGAGCTGGATTTCTATTCGATTAATCGAGTTGTGCTATTCGGGAAAGATTTTAAGTTCAATGTTTATCTTTATGTGGAGTCTGTTTATCTTGAGGGGTCATTCATAAATTATGTTTTTCAAAACATGAGGTTTTTAAATTAAAGAATCTAAAGTTACAAAGTTTTGGCTACTCCAGGTCAGTCGCATAGTCATGAACAAAGAAGGTTGAAAATTTGATGGAAATCTGGAAGAAAACAGGCTCAGCAGGAGGAGATCAGGTTTGATTCCGACTCATTCGCTTCTTCTGGTCATATATCTTCAAAAATTTGTCAAATCCTTATCATGATGCCATTAATCTCCATGTTTATCTTTACTCAATTTTCTTTCAATGCCCAAAAAGTCAGTCAGTCGATAAATTATCATTAATCAGATCAATTACACCAAATCTACATTAATATTATTTCCAACTTAGTAATTACACCGAAAAGCTAATTGATTGTGACGACCGTGAATTTAAAGGTGTAAATAATCTATTTACAAAATTTAGATCAGACATCAATTTTTAAACCGCAAACATAAAATGTTTTGTAAGAGAGCGAAGCAATAAAAATAAATTTGAACGCATGACTGCTTCGTAAATTGCATTTTTTCAAGGTCGTCTGTTATGCAATTTTTTATACGCATAACTTAAAGCTGCTCAAATATCTCTTTATGTCGTGTGAGATGAAAGAGAAGTGAGAGGAAGAGAAATGAAAAGAAATGTACATGAAACTTGAAATGAGCGATCATGACTGTGAGTCTTTTGCGAATAAGAAGAAGAAAGTCTTTTTATAGCTATTGTAAACAATTGATGTAATCAAAATATTTGTTTTGAAAATTCAATAAGAGCTTTTATGTTGAATTAAATTATTGGAGTTGCGGAAGTTTTCTTTTTATTGACATTTTGTTGCATTAAAAATTAATGGATAAATGAACATGTATGCTTACGTTTCGAGTGCAATAACTGTCAATATCAACTGTTTTGAAGTTTTGTGACTTAATTTTTTTGAGTTTGGCTACAAAGTTGCTGGAGATTAAAGATTTAGAGACAACCTATCTTAGGAGCTATGAAATTACTTGCCCAAGGGAACGTGACATTTGAAATTAGTATTTTTTTTCGTTGATTTGAAATTAGAATCTTTGTTAATTTGCTTCATGAAGGGGAAAGTGGGGGGGGGGGGGGGTTCACTATAATTTTTAAAAAATAATAATTAATAGATGAGAAGACACTAATGATCATTCAAAGAGGATGTGTCTGCACTTTTTCCATTAAAATTTTGACAAAGAAGCAAAGACAGAGGAGGAGGAGGGGCGGGGGGTCTGAAATTTCCCATTTTTTATGGATTCATAATTTAATGACTCTCAAACTTTCTACTATCCTTTTCTTCATACTGGTTTTTTTTTCTCACAATTTATCGTGTCAGCAACTTTACAAGCTCAATTTAAACGCTATATATAGAATATAATGTAGGGTTTTGCTAATAGCAAAAGCGGCACTGCGATCGATGATCTGTTGCTATATATAGCTCGGGAGAAAAAGACTAAGTGGAAGAAACAATCGAATACATTTTAATGCTTTTTGCAAAACATTTCAGGAAATAGTCTCACAACTCTTATTATTTATATGACTTTTAAGTCACAAAATTTAATTTTTCGCTAAATCATTGTAGTTTTTATTGCAAAAAAAAGACTTTTTAAAGTCAATGACTATATTTGAATTTTTGACTCAATGACTCAATTTTTTTAGTACTCTGAAAGTTGCATTGGATGAAGCTTTGTTGGTAATGGATTAATCCAATGGCGTAGTAAGGGGATTTTGAATTTATGTCAACTTACATAGGGTTGGGCAAATATTCGAATATATTGAGTTTCGCGTCTTTTAGAAATTTTATGCACCTGTTTGTAAGAAAATGCCAACCTACCAGGCGGGTAGCCCTTAAACGTTTTGAACCGCAGCAAGAGAACGGCCTAAAACGCTTAAGAGGGGGACAATACCCTCCTGGCTACGCGCCTGCAACCTAATATTTATGCCAAAAAAGGAAAGGAAGTCCCCTTACTGCACCACTGCTCAAATAATTTCAATTTGTCAGATTCAATCAATGCATTTATGCTACCCACCAGCACTTTCCAATGGTAATTCAAAAACAAATTTATAAAATCGTGTCCATATCCATCTTCTTCATAGTCTATCCAAAAAAAGAAGCAACGTCTATAGAGAATTCTTCACGCCCGTTTCAGTTTAATACATAACACCATTCATGAAATTAAACAATTTATATCCATTGGATGTAAGAAGCAATCATTTTTAAGCGAATAAATAACATAAATGACGGAACATGAGTAGTTCACATTTAATGTACATTAAATTATGTGTAACGAGAAGTGAAATGTGAAGAAATTCATAACCAATATTCAATACTTTTCTTCATATTATTCTTCTATAATTTTTTTTTCGGTGGTATTTTGTACTTTCTTAGGAAATAAAAGAAATTTTTTTTCATATAAAATGAAAAGAGAAATTTATGACCAGCATCAGTGCCAACTTGAAATTTGAAGTGAAAGAAACATAGTCACAAAAATGTTCCGAAAGTTGAATTTAGTCAGTGTAATTTTAGTTTTAAAATGTGTAATTCTTATTTCGGCTTACGGTCATGTTTCCAATTATGGAACTAGTGGAAATTATAAAGCACCAGTTGTAGATTATCATCAGCAAGATCATCAAGAGAATTCAGAAGTTAATCAAGAGATTTATGTACATGAGACACATCATGAGGAAGAACCAGAGCATTATGAAGGAGGAACACATGGAAGTTATGGATTCTCATTCAGTCATGGACATGAAGGACCTTCATATGGAAATGATAATTCTGGACATCAAGAATATGAGAATGAAGAACCAGAGCATCAAGAATACTCACATGGCAGTCAAAATGCAGCACATCAAGACTATTCTCATGAAAGTCAAGATTCTGGACATCAAGATTATTCCCAAGCTGCAGTACATCAAGATTATTCTCATGGTACCCAAGCTGCAGCACATCAACAAAATGCTCATGAAAATGTAAGACACACACATACTCCAGTCCATTCTGAAAGTGGATCCCATGGAAATTCTGCAGTCAATGCCAATGGTGGAGCTCATGCTAACAGTGGAGCTCATTCCAATAGTGGAGCTCATAGCTATACTAGATCTCAAGTCAACAATATCGCTCTTGGACATAGTCATGGAAATGAAGGTCATGCAGCTGAAGGTCATGGAGAAGGAGCTGGACATGATGAGAAGCATGAAGATTATCATCACTATCCAGCCTATAAATACGAATATGGTGTTGATGATCCAAAGACAAAAGATCATAAAACCCACTGGGAAACTCGTGATGGAGATGTTGTCAAGGGAGAATACACTTTGAGTGAACCTGATGGCACTGTAAGTAGCTTTAAAATTTATAATATGAATTGCAAAATAATTCAGGTCTAGTAATCTTTAACAGATTTGTCTTAGTCTCGCAGACATGATTATATATTCAACTATTATATATTCTATTATATATTCAACTTGAAACTAAATCCGAAAACTTTTTACTATTTGCAGATCCGTAAAGTCTCATACACATCAGATAAGCATGCAGGTTTCCAAGCTCATGTTGAGAAAATTGGACATGCAACACATGAGAGCGCTGGACATGGAGACAGTCAACATCATCATGTTACCGAGAATGGAGACGATGGTCATTATTAATCACTGAAATATTATTAAAATTAGACTGATGTTATTGTTGAAAATTTAGAAATTAGTTTTAGAATGGAATTTATAGAAAATTTCTGTCTGTTGAACCTCAATAAAATTAGGAAAAAAAAGTTTAATCAAAATGTTTTAGAAATTTAATTTAAAAATATAAATGATCAATTACATGACTTAATATAAAATGCTGGCTAGCTTAAGAAAGCTGTATTTATTGTTAAGCTAAGCATGATCATTAAATGTAAGTACAGATACTCATTGTTGGTATTTGCTCCATTATTCAAAGCATTTTTTTTACCGTCGCAATTAATATGAGATCTAAGTAATAATTTCATATTATCATGATAATAAAATCTAAGCAAATCTTGTTTATGACTTTGATCTGCTTGATCTTAAATCTCGACAATTTTTCAATTATAAAAGTTAATGGAGAAAACTGAAATTGAAACTTAGAAAAGTGTCATGATTCTTGTTAAGATTATTAAAAATTCAATCAGCGGTTAACGTGCAAGATCTTTTACTTAATTCAATATGCTTCTTCGAAGTTATGCCTGTGATTTTAAAATTATGAATTCCTAATTTAATTTGTCAAGCTGAGTCAATTATTGATTTAATTTGAAATTTTTTTGGATACCTTTTATTGGTAAATTGATATTTGGTTAATGACAACTTAATACTGGTTTAAGATGTGTGGAGTGTTGAAACTTGGTGAACCTAAGCTTAGGCAATTTGCAATCGAAGGCACAAGCCTTTGGCACAATTTTTGCCTCTGCAAAGGCATGACTTTGCTAGATCAAAGACAAAATCTGGGCAAAGACAACTTTGTAGCAACACTGGATGTTTGGAACTAGTGCAGTGCTGTTCATACTATGATTGGATATGAACAGATGTTCTATTTGGATTCTATAAGATATTTGAATCCAGAACTAACCCGGCGTGATTCTGGTGTGGTGCTGGACTCAATTCAAATCTTTTTGTTTCACACTAAACGCATTTCTAAACAATTTAAGAAGATTTAAGAAATAAATTATTCATCTGAGTTTTAAATTATGTTTTGATTTATTAAACTATGCTGGAAGTCTTCTTAAGTCACTCAAGGGTCTGTTCAAAAGCTTTCAAACTTTCTCCTTAAAAATCTATAGGCTACACTATGAGGTATAATATTGAAATGAAAAGGTACTCCAAGTAGCTATAGATGCCGGCCCCTGATTGAAAGTACAAGCAATCTTTCTCCTAGTTTTAATATTTTTTACCACATTTAAAATTCCAAAAGTCTGTTGCAACTTTGTACAAGCCAAATCAATTTGGAATCAACATGCGAGGCTTACTTAAGCAGAGCTAAATTAGTTCCGAATCTGATTGAATCATGCAAACTTTCAAACCTTTTTAAACTAAGACAAGGTGTGAATTGATTTTATAATATTTAATTAAGTGTTGTATGATGAGTTTTTGCTGATATTTGGATTGAGATTGTCAACTTATGATTAATTATTTTCAAGAATATTTAAAACAAATTTTTATTAATATTCGTCATCAATATTGTATTTTATTAAAATATTTGACTATCACAGATCTTTGGAACAATTAAAGTTTTAGTAATGATGAGCTTCCTCATGATGACCATAATGAGCTGGATGAGAAGCATGTCCGACTCTTTCAACATGAGCTGTAAATCCTCCTTTCTTGTCTGATGAGTATTTGACAATTCTCTTGGTTCCATCAGCTTCATCAAGTGAGTATTCTCCTTTAACAACATCTCCATCACGATGCTCCCATTGGCTATGATGATCTCCTGCCTTTGGATCCTTAACTCCATATTCAAATTTGTAGGCTGGATGATGGATGTAGTCAACATGTTTGTATTCATCATGTCCATGTCCATGATCTTCACCATGATGAGCTTCAACCTTAATTTCTGTATGATGTCCGAGCTCATCTGTTCTTTTAACATAGCTTGATGCATGTCCATGAGCGTATGCAGCTGCAACCAAAGCAAGTCCGAAGAAAATTGTGAATGAATTCATAATGAAAATTTTATAAGAATTTCTTGAAATGTTTACTGAATGACTGAACAATTAAAACTGATGCTGATTACCGAATTTTCATTCCATTTTATAGCTAAAAAATGTTAGCACTTTTATTTCAAGGTTTTGCAATGTTTTTGTGCATTTTTCTTTCAATTTTCGTTTCGATTTTTATTTTCGTCATATTGTAGTAAAAAAATCGTGTATGTGAAAAATGCATTATGTGTAAATTACACTTTATTCAAATAGTTTGCGGCATTAAAAATCGCCTATACTTTTTCGTTCATTAAGCATTTAGCTTTGGTAAGCTAAAGTTGTCATAAATAGGTCTCAACAGGTGTATTTTCATGCTTAAGAAATCATTAATTAAGTGATCTGTCATAATCTATAATCATCCGTTAAAAGAATGTTATTAAAATTAAAGCACTGGACTAAATTACTATTGCATTTTATTTTTATTGATACGTATTGATGATTGCGATAGAAATGTGTGCATGATTATTAAAGTGACATAATCTGAGCTAATTTTTTAAGTGCTAGTTTAGTTTAAATATCTAAAAACGGTTTGACTTGATCAAGCACATTCTAATGCTGTCTACAATCATAAAATGGCATCCATGAAGAAGTCGCTTTGTAATAAATGCCGAGTAGCTATTGTTAAGTTCTAAGTCCTTCTTGAATGGAGAGAAGAGCGTATTTATTAATAAAAAAAGTAAACTGTATGCTTGCTTGCTCTGGATAATATTTACATGTGTGCTAATCGGTTAAGAAAAAAATGGGAGTGCCAAGAAGCAGTGTTTTCTCAATGAAAACATCAAATGTGAAACAGAAGATAAATATCTGGGAATGGGGATCGACAAGAGAGTGACATTAAAGCCGCATGTGGAGTATGGGACCGAAAGGGCTCACACAGCATTAAGACAACTTTATCCGCTCATTAGCAGGAACTCACAGCTCGACGTACGAAAAAAACTTCTAATCTCCAAACTAGCCATTAAACCAATATTCACATATGGTTGTTCAGCATTTGGAAGCATGGCAAAAATACACCTTCAAAAAATTCAAGTACTGCAAAACAAATTCTTGAGAATTGTTCTCAATTAAATAAGATTTGAAAATATCACCGATCTTTATACAGAAGCGAAAATAGTCCTTTAAACACCTTAAATTCTTGCTGATCATAAATAAATTCCACAATAAATTCCAAAAAAGTCAAACAAAATAAAACTTCAAAGTACTGAATATTTTATTGTTTTGTAAAGCTTTACTGTGACTTAATCTTGACACAAAGAAATTTCAAAAAACAGTTAAAATTTGTTAAAACAGTTAAATACAATTTACTTGTATCAAAGTCTGGTCATTGGGAAGCTAAATTTTTACATCTCTCAAACATTGATGTACAAAAAATCGCTGCATCCAATCTTGACTAAATCTAGTTGTTCTTTAAACGCATCAAAATTAGAAACTGATTGATTTGTTTTATTTTAAGAAAGTCTTTATCAAAAAATTTATCATCTGAAATTAACCAATCTGAATGAATTTATGGAGCATTAGCTTAATTTCTTTTAATTTAAAAAAAAACTGTTCAAAGCGCCAATAAATATCTGAATCTATTCTAAGTCATTGTTAAGTTATAATAATTTTCATATCTTGACAAAAACATAGTTCCCAAAATTACAAGTAGGTTAATCGAATAGAAACCCCGTGCAAAGCCAGCTCTTATTTAAATCTTTATATCTGATCAATCAACCGACTGGTGCGATTTAGGAGAGTTGATTGTGGCTAAAATGAGGAGGCATTTCATTCAAATGTTTAGGTTCACGTATCAGTTAAATTATTGAGATAACTTGGACTATGTGTAAAGAAGCAATCAGCAACTAGACAGTTGATAAATTTTATTGAATTTTCATCTTAAATGTTTTTTATGTCAAGCTATTCAAAAAACTAGTTTTGAATTTAAACAACTCTATTAAGAGATAGCAAGTAATTCATTGCAAGTATCCTAAACTGATCAGCGTATTAAATAAAATTTGTTATAATAAAAATGTCAAACTGAATATTTAGAAAATTGAAAAAGTTACTCAAATTTTCATATTAAAATACTAATTCTCAAATTTTTATTAATTTCTATAAATCCAAATTAAGTTTAAGTTTGAATTAAACCAGTTTGGTTCATAATATCACAATTAAGCTTTCACTTTTAGTATCAATAAAGTTTTTAATGATGATGTCCATAATGAGCTGGGTGATCAGCATGTCCAATTCTCTCAACATGAGCTTGGAAACCTGAATGCTTATCTGATGAGTATTTGACAACTCTCTTGGTTCCATCAGCTTCATCAAGTGAGTATTCTCCTTTAACAACATCTCCATCACGATGCTCCCATTGGCTATGATGATCCTTTGTCTTTGGGTCCTTAACTCCATATTCAAATTTATAGGCTGGATGATGAACATAGTCAACATGTTTATGATCATCGTGTCCATGTCCATGTCCATCAACTTTGATTTCTGAGTGATGACCATGATGATCTGTTCTCTTAACATAACTTGATCCATGTCCATGAGCATAAGCTGCTGCAATTAATGCAAGTCCGAGTAAAATTGTAAAGTTATTCATCTTGAAATTGATTTTCTTTTGGATTGTTATCTGGAAATGTGAACTGAATGAATGTACAATTGAAACTGATGTTGATTATTGAATATCGATTCCATTTTATAGAAAAGTTGTTGCTGTCGTTTGACTACTCAAACAACAAACTTGCAACATATCTTCGATATGCATAATAAAGCTTTGGTAAGTAAGTTGATGAAAAAAATATTCTTGCCGCAATTTTTAATGAGTTTTGTGAGAGCAAAAAGAGCGTTTAGAGTTCAATGATAATTTCGCAGCTTTTTCATTAAACAAATTGTTATTATTAAAGTCTATTTTTCACACTCTTTTATCTTTGTCTTTTTCGCACAAAACAATCATATAATCAGCATTGCCACCACACGTAAGACTTTTGATATAATTTACAATAACAAGTTGTTTTTCTCTTCGCTGCAAAAACAACTTTTTTTTTTATTGTTGGCAAGCAATAGCAATTTTATATCTGTTATATTTTTTTGCTTGATAGATTTACGATTAGTTATGAAAGCAAGTGTATAAAAAATTAAATTTTATTAAGGTACAAGGTCAGTCATTCCAAGAAGGTTGGAATTTTCTTGCGATTTTCGATCGAAGTGTGATGATTTTGATTCTAGTCAAGTTGAAAGTCATCGATGCTCTATTTATGGATTGATATTACATGTATCGTTGCGTAATGCATTGCCACATTATGTTGTGATCATAAAAAAAATTGATTTCTCTATCAAGTTTAATTTACTGCTTGAAATATTGCAGGTGTACAAAAATTGTAGAAAATATGAAATATTCAAATCCTTTTTTTTTAAATCCACGAGTAAGTCATAGCCAATCAATCATCTTGATACGTCATTTTATGAATCCCATAAAATCCCTAAAAATACATTCTAACAAATATTTTATGACGGTTATGAAGAAATTATTACAGAGGCATATATGCTGTATTTATTTCCATGTCTACCGTAATTTTCAAAAGAAGAATGGAAAAAAAATTTTAACATTGAGGGAAAAATCATAAATATTTACTGGCGTAAATGGCATTGGTTGTTATACATTCTCGATAAAATTTATTTCTTTATACATTCTGAAGGAAAGCTTGTAAACTTTTGGTGCTTATGTTGGATTTTGGAGTTTAGAGTGCATTTTGTTAAAGTGTAGCTTTAAAGTCTTTTGATATGAGATTTTGTAATATTTTAAAATATTCAAGTTTGAATAAGAATTCGGAATTAATCAAAATTAGCTGATTTTTACAATTTAGACTGAACAATCAAAAGATGTGGACCTGATTAAAATGGACAAAAATGGTTAAAAACTGTCAAAACGTGGTTTACTTACTGTAATCATGTTCCTATGTAGAGCTTAGGTTACAACAAAAGGTTTTCCATCTGACTCTGTTGCTGGCCTTGTCACCTAGTTTGTACATATTTTATGTCCGCACAATAAGCTGACATTCCTTCATCACTGTTGTGCGCAAAGTAGCTTTTGGAGCTCGTGGGCGTCTTCTCTTTTGTGAATTCCATCCAAGGACGGTATAACAAACTTGTGTTTCTGTCCCAGCAATAACATCCTCTCTGAAGTTTTTCTTACGAAGTGTATGTCCAATCCAGCCGTACTTCCTCATCTGTATCTCCTTATTGATGTCTTGTTGACTTGTTTTTTGTAGAAGCTTCTCAAAACGTGTTTTATCAGGTCAGAAACTTTGTGTACACCACAAACTGTATACTAGGTGTCATTTGCTGAGAAACTAGAGACTATCCTGCTTATTCCCAAAAACCTTCAACATCCTCCAGCAGAAATTAAGTTGAGTGCAAGACAGCCAAAAATGAGAGCAATAGATTGAGAACCCAAAAAATTCATACAAATAACATCCCTGATAACAACTACTTTTGCTAGACATCCAATTCCTCAAAATCGTCTTCAGTTAAATTTGGTAAGTTTACTATACTTAAATTTCCCATGAATACCTCAGCCTTTGACCCAAAATGAAATCTACATTACAGCTTTCTTGTTAAAAACCCACTCAAAAATCCTCAATAACGCACAATAAAGAAGGAAATACGCACAAGCTTCTTTCTTTTAGCATCAAAAAAATGAAGCAATGCGGAATTATTATGAATTGCCTAAACACAAAAGAAGAGAAACGAGAACAATCGAAAATGTCAATTCAATTTAGATTTGTTGGTTGTGCGTGCGACTTTATTTCCTTTATTTTTCAACAAAAAAATTTCGAGTATTATATTGGATGTGAAGGAAAAGTGAAAATTTATTATTTATTACTGTGTTCATGAACAGAAAAGCAAGCAAAAATGGGATTTTTGAATCGAGATGCTTTTCAGTGGGCTTTTCATCGGCAATAAAACGATACAAGTGTTTGGAATGTTAATATTGAGTATTGCGAACAGTATTGGACGAGGGGGAGGGGTGTATTGGATCACA